AGCACCAAGTAGAACGCGGCAAGGAGGATGCGGTGGTGGAGAGGCAAGTCCGTGAACGTGTGATCTTCGACGTAGCCCGCTTTTTCCAGCTCGACTTGAAGGTCGTCGTCCGTCGACGGTCGGTAGGCGTGATGCGGATAATCTCCGTTCGAATGGGTGGTCGCCGGCCACGACAGCATGGGATCTCGCGTCGCCATGATGACACAACGTGAGGGCGTGCGAGGGATTTCAAGTGTGCCGCGGATGCCCTCGAAGCGACGTATGTCGACCGACCAAGATCAAGTGGCCTCGCTTGACGTGGTGCCAGTGTGGGTGAACCCATTTTCCCACGTCGCACTGGGCAGATTCACCGACAGCGCCCGAGGCGGCGATTCGTTTTAAATGCATTTAAAATGCCAAATCGACTCAAAACCAGGATTTTGAATGCATTTCAAACGTCCCGCCGGCCCCCCGCAACCCACGCAATCTCGCAGCCGCAGGTTGCGATACGGCACACGCCACCGCTGCCAACCACCCCGACATCGCTCGAGCAAAGAGTTGCAGGCCCGACATCCAACTGTTCCGCTGGAAGGGCGCTGCCTTCATATGTGCATTTCTCGGGCCTCCAAACGCGTCACGCTGGCCCCAACATGCCCGATACTCTTACGGCAACCACCGCGAACCTGTGCCCATCCTACGCGCTAGCTAGCGTCCAGGGCGGTGCCTTCCCCCCCGTGACGTGGAGTGACACATGTGCAGGTTCTCGTCGAGCTCATGATGCCTACGTGGACCCTCGTCGTGGTCATCACAGCATATCCAAGTCAAGCCGTCCCCCCTTTCGAGACACATAGGAAGGGGGGGCGGCGGCGACGTGGCCACAGCACTGACTTCTGTGCGTTTGCCAAGGTCATGCGGAGTAACGCGGCCCAACGCTACGACTTCAACAAAGAACGTCCATTTGTTTGACGGGGGACACCGCACCACCAAAATCGCACGTGCTTCCACTAGTGCGGCGACGGCAGTGTCCAACCAGCACAACTCGTTCCTGTGCATGCGCCCTTCTGAATGCCCGCACAATGGGGGGCGGTGGACTGGTGACGCTTGTGACCTGCCAAGGCCGGTCCCCTTGCCTGGTTTGGCCCGCAAGGACGGCAACCCCACGATTCAGCTGCATGGCCAGGAATAGCTATCGCTAGACCCTTGTGAAGCATGGACCTCATTCCAGAGGTGGTGGCGCCCACCACCTTGTCAGCCTGTGATCGCGACGTGAAATTGTGCCTATACAATCCTGCGCTAGTCAACTCGCACGCCTTGAATTTACCGTGATCCGAGGGCTTTGGAAGGGGGAGGCTTCCTTGTGTATTTGGGCGGCAGGTTAGCATGCCCCACAACGAGCAGCTGGAAGATGAGACGGGAGGATTGTCTATGGATGCGGCAGTCCAGGGGGGGCTCGCACGGTATTCCTGAACATGTCTCCACCTTCTTTTCCTCCGCGACATGTCGGCAGGGACAACGTACGTACGTTGTCGATCGCAGCCTGACGAGAGACAGGGCACACTGCGGTGTAGTCTTTGTTTATGTGGACGGCTGCATTTGTCGATGGCCTTCTTGAGGTTCTTTACGCAATGATTCCATCGGGAAAGAGCTCGCTGGCGTTTGCGTTGCCAACGGGGCGAGGCGCCTCGTTCCCTATCACAAACACCAGCAAACTTTGCGCGACGATGCCGCCGCCTACCCGGTTCCTAGCGTTCAAGAGACGAGGAAAGCAACCTTTTGCCAACGCATGCCGGGCACGCAAGGACGCGTTGGACGCGCAGGACTGCCAAGCATAGAATGACGTCGGTGTGCACGCTCTTTGGGGTTATTTCGAGTTGACCATTAAATAGCGCAGAGGACCGAGAGAACTATGGGATGTACGCCAGGTCATCGTCACGGGCCCGGCGCACGGCCTCCATGCGCATGCGGTGGTCTTCCGCCTTGACGGCCAAGAAGTAGTGCCACCGCTCACGCCCGTCGCGGCGCCAGTACCACCAGTAAATGGCTACGACGAGGACGCCGACGATGGCCGTGATGCTGATGCCAAACCCAACCGCGGTCGCATTCCCTTTGTACAGATATACCATGCCAAACCCCGCCCCAGGCACCACGAAAAACACCATGAGCAAAAACAACAGTGCCACTAGCGGCCACCGCGCGCTGTAGTACCCAATGCGCTCGGCCGAGTGCAGGATCGGGTACCGCGTCGCCGGGATCACGTAAAAGAAAAAGATCCCAAAGATGTTGAAGAACAAGTGCACGAGGGCTGCCCTGACGGCGTTGTACTTGCCAGTCACCCACGACGCCAAGAGGGCCTTCACAGTCGTCCCAACATTTGCGCCGATGATGAGCGGGTACACTTGGTCGAGAGTGATCAAGTCGAGTCCGGCAAGGGGCGTCAGCGTCGACGTGACGATGGTTGACGACTGTACGCCGAACGTGACAGCGATCCCGATGAAGATGTTGAGGTACCCGCTGTAGTTGAGCGCATGGCGCATGTACTTTCGCGCGGACCCGCCCACGAGCTTGGTCAGCGACTGCACCAGGCAGACCAAGGACGCAACGAGCAGCGCAAACGCAATGCCGAGGCAGATGCCACCGATCGCCGAGTCGCTGAGCGAGTGCGACGCGCTTGCGCTTTTGAACACGCCGCTGTC